TGAATTTTATTGGTTTTTTTTATTATTATCATCTGCTCATCTTTCTGTTAAAGAGAACTATCATATTCTTCTATTTTGTTTTCTCTTAGCAATAATTAAATAATAGTACATTGCTGGTTTTTGAAACCCGTTTAATCCTATATTGGGAGTTAGTATTGAAGTGATTGTATTTTATTTAAGGTATTTGGCTACTTTTTGTGGTTTTAATACATTACTTTGGACTTATTTGCAACTGTTTATAGTGTTTGCATAGCTTTTTGTGAATATGTGCTTCAATAAGTAGACTGTGCAATGCTTTGTTTCTGTTTGTAGCATTTCAAATCTATGCTGATATGAAGTGAAGCAGGTTGCAATCCATTATCTTGATTATGAATTCTTGAAGTTTTCTTATTGGTCTTTTTTTGTTGTTGTTGTCTTTAACCTAAGCGTGCAAGTGCCAAGGAACTTCTAAAGCACCGTTTTATTCGGACTGCAAGGAAGAGTCCACGACTTCTGGAGAGAATAAGGTGCGATATATTGCTTTTATGCCTGAAATTTTAATGATGCAACTTTATTTCTAGAATGAACCTGCAACACAATGATGCCTGGTCTGTGCCTGCCCACAGATACGAGGCATAAGAGAACTTAAGACATACGCAACTGCACCTCAGCTTGCACTTTTGTTTCATTTTCTGGCATTTACATGTCTGTGTTTTGAGTGGGCAATAAATGCTCATTAACATGGTTTAGCTAAGATGCCATGCTTTATTGTTACCTTACAGAGAGCGTCCAAAATACCCTATCAAGGAAGATGCTGACAGCCCTAGAAATGGTCCTACAGCTAGAGGGGAGATATCTGATACTGTGAAAGTGACTAGAAATATAATAGATGAAACTGTTCGGGCTAGGTGAGTTATAAATTGCTGATCACTAGTGCTTTGCAGGTTGTGTGGTTTAACTGTTGTGTTAATTTGCAGAGACCAGGGTAAGACCACAAAAAATGCTGGATGGGATTTCAGTATTGGAGCACAGGGTACAGGTACTGTTAGAAGTGTTCCAAAACTAAAACCACCGCAGGCAAGAGAGAAAAAGCCAGAAGGCAGTCAGATTACCTCTGGAAGAGTCCCAGAGAATACTAACCGACGGTTCTCGGCGTCTGGGAATGCTCTTCAAGAATCACGTGAAGATTATTTTTCTAGGGATGGTAGAGATTCATATCATGATGAGTCAAATCCTGAAGATGTAAGTCTCCCACCCCCGTTCCTTTTTTCTTTCGCATGCATGTTTGATACAAGTGACATCCCGGTGGCCACCTTTAAATATAATTTTTTATTTCATCAATGGGCTATACAAGGTTTTTTTTGTCAAAATAAAAAAAAGATTTGTAAGGTTGTCTGTCTCAAATTTTTTGTGGTCTTACTGAACTCTTATCTGTAGTAAAGGCTGTTTGCCATTACTTAATTTTCACTTTTGAATTCTGTCTGCTTTTACTGGAGTAAAGTTAAACAGGGGATATAGTTCACCAAACCAATATTTTTTGCCTGAAAAAGCAAAATGTTGTGCTTTTATTAGTTCACATAAAATTTTAGTTTACTGATTCAAAGTTGGAATTCATGATTGTTTGTACCATGTTACATTATTATATATTTAGCAATTTGAGGTGTATTTTCAGGATGAATTGACTGCGAGTGGGTCAGGAACTGTTGTTATACGAACTCCCAAAGGATCTCAACCATCTACTCAGTTTCGTCATCAAAACTCTCTGGTAACAATCTGTAAGATAGGACAAGAATACAAAGTATTCGAGTTTGAATTTGTCTTTCTGATTTAGCCCCCTTTATTTGATTAGCTCCTTTTGTTTTGTAGTCTAGTGGGACATACGCTTCTTATGAAGATGCTTCATCCAGTGGAACTGTTGTTTTTCGTGGTCAACATGATGATTCTGATTCTCCTGGAACGCCAAAATCAAGGCTGGGAATTCAAGAGAAAACGTCAACTGCCCCAAATGAAGACAGTGCCATTAATCTTGCAGAGGTGCCTTTTGATCAATGTGATATTTCAATTGATATCAGTTAGCTATCTGATCTGTCAATAAATCTCATATTAAAATAGTGCTAGCTGAAACATTGAAAGTTTTCATGCGTAAAAAAATTCAGTGCAACATGTTGGAGTAATTGCAAAAACATGCTGGGCTTTTAACTGTTGACGAGTCACCTAAATAGATTGACTTACTGTTCAGTTGCATTTTGTACCTTCCAATATCAAATCTGAAAGACCTTTTCCTTTAATTGTTCTTTCAGTTGATTTCAAAATTCCATGATGTCTTAGATCCAATCTACTTCTAGGGTTTTCATCCCCTAAATTCTCCTGATATTTTGGTTCTAAATATGAATTTCCTGGTTTCCTTCTGAAATTTCCTAGGTTATTGTCATATTTTAGGTTGAAAGTAAAACCAGCAAACCAAAACCTAATGCTGAGGTGCTCTTGGCGTCCAGAGTGTTTAACTAATGAAGCTTCTTTTTGGATTGACAATGTTTACGCAGGCAAAGGCTGCGATTCAAGGAGGGAGGAAAGGAAATGCCAGAGATAGGTCTGCACTTAACAAGATCAACTACGATGAGCACGATAGTAGAAGAGGGCAGATGACAAGTAGCTCTGATTCTTCCAGGTACATCTACTGGAAAAAGTGCTGTTAGTATATCTAATCTTTGCACCTGCACCCACACATACACACACATACAGAGAGGGTAGAAAATTTCTAATTTATAGAAGAACTCTCTTTACCTCAGACAATCTCATGAATACTTTGATGCCCGAAAGGCATTTCCAAGATCACCCCAAGCAAGTGATGACGAAGAAAGTGCAAAAGTTATATCATCATCTGCAGCACTATCGATAGTGCTTATCCCTTCGTTAAAAGAGGTGAGCACACCCAGATATATTCATAGGACTCTTGGCTTGATATGGTGTCAAGGGGGGAAATCTTGCCTTATTGCTTGACCTGCAAGAACTATTGTTGTCTTCTTTTTCCTTATTTTTGCCTGCTAAGGATATCATTTTTGCCCAAACTTGGGCGTTTGTCATAAGTTAGAAGCCCCATGCAGCATATTTTTAAGTTGCTTTTTAGTGTCATGGCCCTCGTGGGTTAGGTGTCCCTGATTAGAGATACCACATTATTTCAGGAGGTATAGTAGATTTGTGGAAGAATGTAATGTCCATATGCATGATACAGATTGCTTGTTGTGCGCATATGTTTAAGATTTTAGGTTGTAACTATTCTAGAAACATCAAGCATAAACTTCAAGATGTGGTGTATATGTTTCAAGCTAGTTTGTTTTATCCCATTCACTTGTGCATGCATATCCAATGAAGTCATAGTGTATATGGTTTCACCGTTTCAGACATGTGCTTTGCCTTTCTTGTTTATTTTTCTCGTGTATATATAGGCCATTGCTGATGATCCAGAAGGGTCAGCTGTGCGTTCAGTTGTAAATTCGCTTGTCAAGTTGGAGAGCTTGAAGCCAGGATCTTCTGAAGTTTTTGTCAGCAAATTGCTTCAGCGATTATCAAGGTTTCACCAATTGTCTTTTTTGTTTTGTTTATTGTCCTATTCTTTCCGACCACTTAAAATGGTGGATGGTGGCATTTAGTCTAGAGGACTTATTGAAGAAAACCTTTGCAGTTCACAAAGTCCGAAGGAATCTTCATTGAAAGACTTACAGGAGCTGGCTGCTCGCATCTTTGCTAAGGGCAAGACAGCTTCTGAAGAAACACAAAAAGCAGAAGCTGATAACAAGAAAAGGCAGCAGAACAAGGAGGTCCAATCCCACGCAAATATGAGCCCGCTCGCAAGATTTTTGCTTTCAAGGTTAGTCAAGTTATTTATCTCTCATATTCCTTTTCTTATCACATACTTATTGTAATGTAAACAGAAACATAAGCGAAATGTTTCCCATGAATTTTAGTTTATAAAGAATTGAAAGGGAATTGTTATTAGCACTCCAAAAATCTCATTCTGCACTCCAAACTTTCTATATTAGGAAAGAAAAATACCCTTGTAAGAAGTGTAGAATGAGATTTTTGGAGTGCCAATAACACTTCTCAATTGAAAGGGTCCTCAATATTTGATGTGATTTTCGCAAAACGATCCGAAGCATCATTTGGAATGAGAAGTTTTCGTCTAGTTTAGAAAGAGGAAGCTGTTTTCTCTGTAAGTTTCCTTCAATACAAATATGTAATGATGTAATTAAATGTTTGATGCAGATGGCAAGGGCAAGCTTAACGCGATCTCAACCCGGTTTGAAAGAGGTTCGAGTGGCGAATGGATATTTATTTTTGTAGTGTGATTCATGTTTTTGCATTATTCTGATTTGATGTACATATCAATATCATTGTAAGAAATTGTGCCTTTTTCATCTGCCATGATTTTTTTTTTTTTTTAATTAACATTTTTGTTTCCGAGTAGCCAGCATTGCGTATAATTAGGGGTTTGCAATTGTTTTATCATTGTAATATTACCAAAATTGGTTAATATTTATCAATAATTATATTATTAATTGTGGTTTAACCTTTCCCCGATAGTTCATTTTGGTATGGTAGAAATTATAACACTATGTTTGGATAATGAAATCACAGATGTCTGATATTCTAAAATGACAAGAAATTGTACGTGATTCAATATTAGTGGATAGAATTTTGGATATTTATTCATGCGTCCACAATTTAAAACTTCCCCCTTTAATTATTGTAGTAGTATAAATTAATTGATAGACAGATCAAGATCTAGATTAAAGAAATTAAATAAGAAGTTTAATCAAAAGCAATGCTTTTGCTACTTAATACTACGATCTAGTAATACTACGGTCTAGTGATAGTTTTCTTAAGTGTTAGGTTCGATTCTCGTCAAGAGCAAATTTGAACTCATTCCTAGTCCATTGTGAGGCTAAATCTAACCTCTCCCCTTAATGTAAATAATAAAAGTTTCAACCAAACTTACAAAAACGATAAATGAAACACGAGAATCCCAAAACCAATTCTGTTAAGCCAAACAACAATTTGAACATTAATTGAAAAACTCAACGCTATGTATAGAGTGAGGCTAAGCCGTAGTGCCATTCACACACCCATTTTTACCTTCTCACACACCCTTATTAATTACGGCCGTGATGATCTTCAATTCGTTCAATCGACGACCGAAAATTATGAGGAGTGTGTGAGAAGTAAAAGTGTGTGGATAGCATTACCCTTTATATAAAACCAAAAGGTCAATCGAATTTATATATGGGGGTTGGAACATGATGAGATTGAAGCTGATATAGCTCCAGTGTTTGAAACTATTGATGCATCCAAAATGCAACTGCTCTTGTGCGTAAAAGATTCCTCAAGCGTGAAGTTAAGCGAATCCTTCCGCTTAAACTGCAACACCACCTGCCTATTTGGATCGACCACGAGGAGCTTGCTTTGCACTAGTCAGCTTCCGAAATCCAGCATGCAGAATCATGCCTGCAATAGGTTCAAATCCATACAAAATTCCATACGCAAGAAAAGAGACGTCTAGAAATATAAACAGAATTTGTTTTTGACAACCGTAAAGTAGTTTAACTAGAACGTAAAGTAGTATAACTAGAACAAAAGATTAGCTAAAAATAGCGAGAATCAACTTGTTTTGAGAGGTGTAGAAGTTTATCAAGCTTTCTCTCATAAAGATAAAGTTAACTTTGAAACCCGTCAAGATTACAGGTTACAGTCATACATTATATTCCTTTTTCTCGAAAGGATTTTTGCGAATACGATATACTACATGATTTATTTAGTGAGTTTGCATTGTTGTATTCAATAATTAACTTATCTTACTTTAGTAAACCAAAAGAACCTGACTAAAAGAATTGTGCATAATTCTTCTCCATATATATATAATATGCAAAGAATATCAAAAACACACCTGCATAACTGACAGTAAGAGCACAGAAGATAGCCATTTGAACATTTGAACATATCAGAATAACCGCAGCTACTGCAAACATAAATTCAAATCAATGTTAACAAAGCAACTCTAGATGCTATTTTATAAAAACTATGAATAGCTTGCATCGGAGTTGATATGATTGATAAATTATGGAAGCGAGAAAGAGGGGGGGAGGGAACTACACAGCTAGAGGATGATAAATACAAGAAATGTTCGGGAGAAAGCAAATGAGAGTAAAAATTACTAAACAAAAACTTCCGGCCACCCAAAAAGTAAGAGATAGTGCAAAATTTGGAGCTCCTAGAAATACATGATGTGATAATCTCTCAAGGTAGACAATCCTTGAGCAAACTACTAAGTTAAAAAGGCCAAGAGGGCCCTGGATGGAAACCTACCCTCCCCATTCAGGGTACAGCTTCTCTGATTGTACCTTTCAGACTTCAGACCTCAGAAAAGATCTCTGAACACAAGAAAACGAAAACTAAAGTGGCCATAGTGCTATCCTTGTATGTACAAAGCCTAGGTTAAGTACAGAACAGAGAAGATAGAACACATCGTCGTAACTCACAGAGAGGAACGTCTGAGCCCATGGAAAATCCCAAAAAAAAAACCATAGCATTGGAGACTCTGTCACACTTTTAAGGTTCCTAGGAGTCTTGTATGGTAGAGCAAACATGCGGACATGAATATTAAAATACATATATATATATATATATATATATAAACTGCTAAGATTATCTCCACTTAGGAGCTCCTGCTTAGCAGTTTATGCAGTTTATAGATCATTAGAACTCCACAGAGTCTTCGTCCATGACAGAGTATGAACCTCTTTATATACTCTTTAATTTTTATTGTAAACCAATATCAAGCTAAATGCAAAACATTTACCCCATTTAAGAGTTCCCCAAATTAAAGGATACCTTGATAATTTTTTACTTGCTCACATGTACACCATTCTAAGTGCAACAAACAACATAACACCACAAATGTTAAATGGAGTTTTCGCCATTTTGCATTGTCTACGTTACTATGTATATTATACACGCATAACAAGATCTAAAGAAGGGTGAAAAAGGAATTAACTTGGAAAACTCAAGAAGTTCGTGGCATTTTCGACTAGTAACAAGCTCAATCCTTACTTATGTAGAAGAGAATGCTAAGTAAACAGAACAAATGCACAAGAGAATACTGCTACTGCCCAAACACAGGGTCAACAACTCACCACATTGAGCAAAACGAATTAAGCACTGCCGAACTATTGGGTATTGGTCCAGTCCCCACCTTTCACTACAGAACTTAAAAACATCCCATAGTGCCAAACAAGATATCAATCCAACAAGAGCCAGTGGCATCTGATATCTGTAATCAAATAAAATATACACAAAAATATCAGATAGGATGAGGGGAAAAACACTGACAGTTATTAAACCACAACCTGCCAAAGAGGAAAAGCTAAAATGTACAGACAAAGGAAAGAGTAATACATTACTTATTTTATTTAACAGGACCCCCAACAGGATCAGACTCATCATACAGGACACAATTAAGCCTATCTTGCCCACGCCCTTTCACCCTCTAGCATTAAGATGAATTATGAAAAGGAGCACAGCTGTAGCTTTACCTTTCATCTCCCCTTCACTGGCAAAGTGAAGATTGAATGAGATTACATTCCCTCCACCAAAAGACCAACGAGGAGGATGTTCATATGGGAGTAAATGCGTTGCTTGGCAACACCTACTTAACAGTCTAAACCACTCAAATCATTCCAAGTGGTGCTAGTTTCTTGAATTTTTATAAACAAAACCCAACCTTTCAACATAGCCAAGACCAAAACTACATACATAGTAAAGTTACTTGGGCCAAGGAAAAACAACTAACGATTTGAAATTTGATTATTAGATTATTATAGGTCTACACAACAAAGAAGCTTGCAACTCAAATTTCTCAGCAGATTTAGAATTGCAAATATCGCCTATTAGAAGGCAAAGCGCATCATAAGACAACAGGTGTCAACATTTTCAATTTGCTTCCATTTGCTTAAGTTCTTGGAACAAATTAAATAGAGAGCCAGATTTTAAAATTCTAACTAGAACCTAAAAAGAAAAAGGCATTGATATGAAACCAGGACAGGAAAACAACAAATCGAGTACTTACGTTAGCTTCCTCAAAATTCTTTTTTTATTGTCTTTTTGGTTTCCATTCTATCACTTCTTTTTCTCCAACACAAACCAAAACCCAATTCTCAAAACTCACTAGCAATCATGAACCAACGAGAAAGAGAAAGGACCGTTCCTCCTTTTAACCAATCAATTCCCAAAACTTTCACACAGTATATACAAAAACCAGTTCTCAAAACACCCCCTTACCATTTACAATCTTTAAACAAAGAGGGTAGTAACAAAGACAAAAAAACACAGAACCCATGTAATCTAGAGCTCAATTATTCTCCAAAGTCTTGCTTTTTTGTATCATCCAATTCCCAGAAATTCCACAACCACCTTGAATACAAACAGAACCCAATTCTCTAAACTCACCCAAGGATCAAAATACATACATATACTGAATTACATACAGAGAGAGAGAGAGAGAGAGAGAGAGAGAGAGAGAGAGAGAGAGAGAGAGAGCATACAAAGAGCAAGCAAAGAAGAGCACGAACAAAGTAGCATAATTTCTAGCATAGCGCTTGACATTCTCCTGGACCCTCATGCGAGCCTGCGAAACAGAGAGAGGGAAAGAGTAGGATTCGGAGGACCCAAAAAAGGCGGTGGTCCACGGCGGCGTCTGGGCGGCAAGGTCGTCGTTGGTGAGCTTGGAGAAGGGGTTAATGGTGAAGAGAGAGAAAAGGGTGAAAATGCGAGAGAAGAGTGAGATGAAGAAGCCGTTTGTGATAGAGGCTGCGTCAGCGGTGGCGGCGGAAGAGGTGGTGATGGCGGTGGAGGTGTGCTGGTCGATGATTTCTGGGTAGCCATTGTCGCGGAGCCATGACTCGAAGAAAGGGTCGGGGACGCTGAGAGATAAGGGGTTGGAGGTGAATACCATGGTAATTCCCTCCCGAGTCCTGCCTGCAACTTTTTGGTTTGCCTTTGGATTTTGGGATTTTTGTGTTGATGATGTTATGTTGGTTTTCTCTCGTTGAGAAGATAAAAGTATTTCCCAGAATTATATTGGTCGTACTGCGTAGGGATATACAAAGAGTGTGAAATCTTTAATATTAGAAAGCCAGCAATCAACTTTGGTGTCTCAAGGCTTCACCAAAAAAATCTAGACTAAAATAACCCTCAAACAAAAAAAAACAAAAACCAACACAGTATAATACATTAAAAAACTCATGGACATTTTTGTCAGAATACAAAAATATAAAATTTGTTTTATTAACAGAAAAAGAAAAAAAAAAAGAAACAGATAACTCCTCCATTTTAGATAGATAACTCCTCCATTTTAGGAGAGAGAACAACCAACGTGTGGAGAAAAATCTTCAGGATTAGCACGTTTAATTTTCAAACTGCATAGCAGTTTCCATACAAGGAAACCAACCCACCCACGTCTATCAGATTTGAAAGAAGACAAAGATGAAATTAATTTCTTTGGGTAATTGTCTGCTTTGAATGTAATGTGCTTGCGAGTGTAAATTTGGATTTTAAATGGGTTTTTTGTTCAAATTTTTTGGTTGTGATTTTGGGAATTTTGTTTTGTAGCTTCGGATTATAGGTGATGATGGTTAATTTGGTTTTGTTTTCGATTTCAGGAGATTGGGTTTTTCGAGTTTGTGACTGTTCTTTGGAGCCTGCGAAGACCTGTGTGTTTAAGGTCAGTGAATTTGAAATTCCAAGGTTTTGATTCTACTTGCAGCCTGAGGTGTGATTTTAACCCAGATTAGTTAATATAATTAATTTTTTTTTTTCCTGATTATGTAAATGAAGTAAACGTGGTTTGTAGGTTTTGCAGAGAAAAGGTCCTGCGGAAATCATTTCATGTTTTCGTTTCATATTTTCTAATTTGGGTGTTTCAAATTTGTTTCTACCACTTATGAAAAAATTCCAAGAACAAAGACTAATTATTTTCTCCTGTTTTGTGGTTAATTTATGAAAACAGGGGAATTATGAATGTTGTGAGACTTCACTTCTATATGGTCTGATGCATAAATGTGTTTGATGTTATTTTATGAATATGTTAAATGGGTTAAGATGCATATCGTTGTTTACAGGGTATAAAAAATAGTTAGCTACTTTTTTTTGTGCTTTGGGGATTTTATCAGATTTGAAAGAAGACAAAGATGAAATTAATTTCTTTGGGTAATTGTCTGCTTTGAATGTAATGTGCTTGCGAGTGTAAATTTGGATTTTAAATGGGTTTTTTGTTCAAATTTTTTGGTTGTGATTTTGGGAATTTTGTTTTGTAGCTTCGGATTATAGGTGATGATGGTTAATTTGGTTTTGTTTTCGATTTCAGGAGATTGGGTTTTTCGAGTTTGTGACTGTTCTTTGGAGCCTGCGAAGACCTGTGTGTTTAAGGTCAGTGAATTTGAAATTCCAAGGTTTTGATTCTACTTGCAGCCTGAGGTGTGATTTTAACCCAGATTAGTTAATATAATTAATTTTTTTTTTTCCTGATTATGTAAATGAAGTAAACGTGGTTTGTAGGTTTTGCAGAGAAAAGGTCCTGCGGAAATCATTTCATGTTTTCGTTTCATATTTTCTAATTTGGGTGTTTCAAATTTGTTTCTACCACTTATGAAAAAATTCCAAGAACAAAGACTAATTATTTTCTCCTGTTTTGTGGTTAATTTATGAAAACAGGGGAATTATGAATGTTGTGAGACTTCACTTCTATATGGTCTGATGCATAAATGTGTTTGATGTTATTTTATGAATATGTTAAATGGGTTAAGATGCATATCGTTGTTTACAGGGTATAAAAAATAGTTAGCTACTTTTTTTTGTGCTTTGGGGATTTTATCAGATTTGAAAGAAGACAAAGATGAAATTAATTTCTTTGGGTAATTGTCTGCTTTGAATGTAATGTGCTTGCGAGTGTAAATTTGGATTTTAAATGGGTTTTTTGTTCAAATTTTTTGGTTGTGATTTTGGGAATTTTGTTTTGTAGCTTCGGATTATAGGTGATGATGGTTAATTTGGTTTTGTTTTCGATTTCAGGAGATTGGGTTTTTCGAGTTTGTGACTGTTCTTTGGAGCCTGCGAAGACCTGTGTGTTTAAGGTCAGTGAATTTGAAATTCCAAGGTTTTGATTCTACTTGCAGCCTGAGGTGTGATTTTAACCCAGATTAGTTAATATAATTAATTTTTTTTTTTTCCTGATTATGTAAATGAAGTAAACGTGGTTTGTAGGTTTTGCAGAGAAAAGGTCCTGCGGAAATCATTTCATGTTTTCGTTTCATATTTTCTAATTTGGGTGTTTCAAATTTGTTTCTACCACTTATGAAAAAATTCCAAGAACAAAGACTAATTATTTTCTCCTGTTTTGTGGTTAATTTATGAAAACAGGGGAATTATGAATGTTGTGAGACTTCACTTCTATATGGTCTGATGCATAAATGTGTTTGATGTTATTTTATGAATATGTTAAATGGGTTAAGATGCATATCGTTGTTTACAGGGTATAAAAAATAGTTAGCTACTTTTTTTTGTGCTTTGGGGATTTTATCAGATTTGAAAGAAGACGAAGATGAAATTAATTTCGAACAAATTAAAGAATGCAAAATTTTGTTATTTGGTTATTGATTTTATTAATGGTAATGAGCTATTCAACTTTTTTTATTTTAATTATGAGAGTTTTCTAACTTTCTTCATGTCTTGGGTTCTCTTTTGGATTCGTTCTCTGTGTTTACATGGGTTTTGTTTGTGAGTTCCTTTTTTATGCGTGTCATTTGGTTTTATTTTTTTTTCCAGGAGTTGTGGGTCTTCATTTTTTGGGGCCTTTTTCTCTGCCATTGTAACATTTTCGTAATAGAGGTAAGTAATTCAGAGTTACTCTTTTCAGCCTATTATGTAAGAAAGTGATAATTCTTTTCGCATATTCTGAGGTTTCAGTTTTGTATGATCTAAATGTCAAATGTGTTTCATGTTATTTTATGAATGTATTGAATAACTTGGAATTTATGTGATTGCTCATAAGAAATATAAAATACTTAATTGTTGTTCTTTGTTTTTTAGTAAAGCCTCTCAAAAGTGAATGATACAACATAGAATTACTTTGTATAACCTAGCATAAAAGAAGTGAAAAAAAGGCCACAAGGTGAATAACTGCTTTCTATTTTAGGAGAGAGATATTAAACAGAGAAATTCAAATTTGTTATGTTGGGGAAAAAAAACAAATAAAACAACAAGAACGGAATAACTTCTCCTCCATTTTAGGAGAAAATATTAATATCTATATTAAAAAAAAGTATCTGATACATTATACTAACATATGCATATGGTCCAACTAATTTAGACGGATTAGGATGTCTCCAACAAATTTCTATCCATTCTAGGAGGAGATACTAATATCTTATAAAATGATATATAGGCTACTTTCCCTGCCAGAGATGAAATAGAAAGGGATGACAAGAATGGTCATCCATTAGGCCCTCAGGAAGGCAATGCAGCCGATGGCCTTTTAAAAACGAAGAGAGAGAGAGAGAGAGAGAGAGAGAGAGAGAGAGAGGGTATTTTCCCTTTGCCTTATGATTTATGGTTCAACTATATATAATGGATGTAAGCTTAATTTTTTTTTTTTTATGTTTTCATATTTTTCTTCAATTTTACCTTTATTAAGAATCATCAAATTGAAATTTCAGTTTTAAGATTTTTGGAGGACTACAACATATCAAGTATGGAGGGAATTGATAGAAGCGATATGTCAGAGGTTGTTACCTTATCTGCATTATTCCTCTTTTGTACATATGATATATTTTTTCTTCTTTTTCAAAAATAAAATAAAATTCATTATGTTTAGCAATTTCTCAATGTAGGTTAGCAATGAAGAAGTTGACTTTGGACAAACAAATGTTCACAATTTTCAACGGTCAGACCCAAGGTATCGTAGGAGTAATCAACAAAGGCAAAATCATAGGAGCAATCAACAAAGACAAAGACGACAATCTATGAATTCATCACAGCGGGCTCGAATTTCAATACGACGACGTGCCAATTATCAAACCCGCTTGAACTCAATCAATATAGTCCAAAATCAAACGGAAGTAAACCAAGAAAACATAGGACCGACATCTGCGGGTAACTATGATTTCTTATTTTTTTGTCTCTATTCAATTCGTACGTTGTATTAACATTTTTGTACAAATTATTAAGACAAATATATTAAGATTGAACAAATCAGTGATTCTAAGTTGTCATTGCCTTTTTGTACTATCAATGCAAACATCCATTTAATAATTCTGTTATGTCTATAATAATTTCAACATTTGGATTGTATATATTTACCATAGTGACCAACGTTTTAACAAGTACTCCAAACAAGAAAAATAAAAAAATAAATAAAAATAAAAAAAAAAAATAAACAAATAAGGAAAGGAATATTATGTAAACTTGGAATAACAGTTCAACTATAATAGTCAAGGGAAAAATATAAAAATAACATCACATAAAGATATAGTACATCGATACTAAATGGAAAAAATTGTGAAGTTAAACAAAAACATGCAGCACATAATTATACAGATGCAAAATCAAAGGAAGCAAAAAGCACAACCCAAATCAGAGAAATGAAATCATAAATCAATGATTCAGTGCATGAAATTCACTAAATTTTAGTAAACCCTAGATTCAGAGATATTGGCGTTGCATTCATTTCATCCGAAAACGGCAAGAAGAAAACCACTCTCATCCAAAAAAAAATGAGTTTTTCTTTTCTGTGATCAATTAAAATAAACAATACTATTCATCCAAGGTCTGTCATCCAAAACAATCCACAGTTTTTGCTTTTCTGATCACTAAAATCTACAGACTTTAAAGAGAAAATAGCTCAAAATACAAAACATTCACTTTTTCTTTGTTTTCTTCTTCCTCTGCCACTTATTATGTGACCTAGGCAGTCTCAATCAAACGAAAATAAAAAAAAAACGTAATGTATACCAATGATTCAATTACAAAAACAAAAGGAAAAAAAATACGTATGTAGGTACTTAAATAATATTCTATGCTTACTAATATTTTTCGTGCACCATTACGTTTCTTGGTTTAGAGCAACAAAATGCATATGTTACTGATGAGAGACAAAGCCAACGAGAGCAATGGCGGGATCAACAACGTATGAGGCGGAATTCAATGAGTTCAAGCCAAAGACACGAATATTTAGCACGACGACGATCCAATTATCGTGTTCAACAAATTCAACGCTCAAACATAATGCTATTTGGTGGTGACCTAGATCAAGTTCAACACCCTAACATAGGGCAATTCGATGAAGGCAGTAGCAATCATGTCGAACGACTAAACATAGTGCCGTTTGGAGAAGGCAGCAGCAATCAAGTTCCAAGAACAATGCGCTTAACTCATATAAGGCAAATTGCCCGATCCAATAGGACACGCTTGCCTCGGGATGGACTAATACAAAGTTTCACTAATAATGGTAATCGCACAAACTACCATAGTACAACTTTGAAAAAGATAAACATCAATATCATCATTACTGTAAACACTACTTATTACCTTACTTCCATTTCATTTGATTATAACAGAAAATACAGCAGCGCAATCGTTCAGTTCGAATACTCCAATGAGTCATTGTTATCTGCCCATCATCAATGAAGGTATCAGCTTTTGAATATTAATACCTACAATTTCAACTATGCTCTCTAAATCATGAAACACCTTTAATGTTTCCTTTTTAAGTAGATGCTTTTAATCTCATTAATGAAAATGAGATCCAGCCTAACGAGGACGTACCACCTCGACATCATACTATGGGAAGAAGGCCAATTCATAATTGTGCTAGAAACTTTAATGAAAACATGGAAATCCCAAGATTTCACATGCCAAATCCAACCACATGTCCAGATTGTCATGCCCGTTTGTTCTCTCATGAAACATCTGAAATGTGTTGCTTACGTGGAAAGCTTGCTCTACCATTGGCACCGTCCCCTCCTGAAATGACTGAGCTTTTTTGCAACCAATCTGCCGAGGGAAGACATTTTAGGCAGAATATACGAGCTTACAACCACATTTTTGCCTTCACTTCAATGGGAGTTCATGTTGACGAAAACCTAGCAACTGGAAGACGTGGTATTTACACATTTCGTGCTCAAGGTTCCATATATCATAAGATTGGAAGTCTTTTGCCTATTAGAGATAGTAGACCGAGATTCCTACAAATGTATATATATGACACAGCTCATGAAATAGACAATCGAATGAGAGAAAGTGAAGCACTAAACAGAGGTGTGGTTGAAAAAATCCAACAAATCTTGAATCAATATAATCCATTTGTGCAAACATTTCACCACCTTGCGCAACGTCAAGATTTGCAAAGTTGTAGATTGATTATCAAAGAGCAGCCCGCGAATCAACGACAATATTGTTTACCATCTGCATCTCAGGTTGCTGCAATCATAGTAGGTGGTGAAGGATCAGAAAACATTAGAGGTCGAGATATTGTTGTGCAAACTACAGATGGTCAACTTAAGAGTATCAAAGACTGTGTCGGCTACTATGACCCTTTACAATATCCATTGTTGTTACCTTATGGAACATATGGATGGGATGTGAATACTCGAAATAACAACAGCAGAAAAGTGACATGTTGTGACTATTATTCGTATCTTCTTCAGGTAACCTAAGACCTTCATCTCTATGAATACAATATTAATTTTTAAAACTTATATTGTGTTGAACAATGAATTTTATCATTTTAGATCCGTCAACATGACGAATCGCTTCTACTTCGTGGTGGCCGCCTATTGCAACAATATGTAGTTGATAACTACGTCAAGATCGAATCACAAAAGCTTAGATGGATGCGTAATAATCAACACACAATTCGATCTGAATTTTATCGAGGACTGCAAGACTCATTAATTGCAGGACAAAATAATGCAGGTATGAAGCTAATCAGTTTATAATAAAACATATATTCTTTAAGTTCATGTTCTGTCACATTAAATGAGACTTATTAAAGGGTTGAAACAAAACAAACATATTTAGACTTATTAACGACTTATAACAAAACAAATACAGGAGACGTCGGTCGTCGTAGGACTATATTACCATCATCTTTTGTTGGTAGTCCCCGAGACATGTATCAAAGGTATCAAGATGCAATGACTTTGGTTCAAAAATATGGAAGACCAGACATTTTCCTAACAATGACATGTAATCCAACTTGGGAAGAAATAAGTGATGAGCTACTACCTGGCCAAACACCACAAGATCGACCAGATTTGCTTACAAGGGTTTTTCGTGCAAAATTTGAAGAGTTGAAGAATGATGTTATAAAAAAAGGTGTTTTAGGCAAAGTTCTTGCATATGTATATGTCATTGAGTTTCAAAAGCGCGGTCTCCCCCATGTTCACATGCTTCTCATGTTAGAAGAAAATGATAAGCTTAATAGTCCAGATGATTATGATCAGGTGGTACGGGCTGAAATACCAAATCCAAATGAAGAGCCTGAATTGTATGGTGCCGTCTTAAGGCATATGATACATGGTCCATGTGGAATACACAATTCACGATCACCCTGTATGAAACGTGGTAGCTGTAAACGAAATTATCCTAAGCCATTTGCACCAACTACAGTTCAAGGAAATGATTCTTATCCAGTCTATCGTAGAAGAGACAATCATGATCCAATCCCATTAGATCATAATGCACGTATAATGGTGGATAATCGGTGGGTCATTCCGTACAACTCATGGCTACTCCTCAGATATGATTGTCATATTAATGTTGAGATTTGTTGCAGCATTAAGAGTGTTAAGTATCTGTACAAATATGTTTACAAAGGTCCCGACCGAGTAGCTTTTGAAGTCCATCATGAACCTATTCAAGATGAAATAAAGCAGTTTGTTGATGCAAGATGGGTTTGTGCACCTGAAGCTTTATGGAGAATATTCAAATTTGTAACTAATCGACTTTATCCATCGGTGGAACGATTACAAATTCATCTTCCTGAAGGACAAACTATTCATTTTTACCCTCACCAAAGAGTAGCAGATATTTTGGCAGATGACACTAACTCGATGACTATGCTGACAGAGTTTTTTACCAAGAATACCACTTGCCCGGAAGCAAGACAATACTTATACCGGGAATTCCCTGAACGGTTCAAATGGAGTCAAAGAGATAAACTCTGGAGTGAGAGGATGAATAACCATAAAGTTATTGGCCGGATATATGCAGTCTCGCCGAATGAGGGTGAAAAATTCTACTTACGCATCCTTCTTAATCATGTTAGAGGACCAACATCATTTGAGAACTTAAGAACAGTCAATGACATTGTACAACCAACATTTAAGAAGGCAGTGGAACAACGAGGTTTGCTAGAAGATGATGATAGCATTAGACAGTGTCTCTGTGAAGCCACTAACATTCGCATGCCGTCAGCTTTGCGAAGGTTGTTTGTTACCATCTTAGTTTATTGTGAGCCACATGGAGTAAGAAGATTATGGGATGAATTTCATTCATTTATGGTGGAAGATTATTCTGTTTCAAGTACCACAAATAATACTTCTATCTTGAACAAGCTTTTGCAAGACTTGAACGGACTATTAGTGCAACATAGTAAGTCTGTATCTGATTACGATTTACCACAAATAACACAAGATTGTGTTAGAGACAACACAATTCCAAGGATAATACAAGATGAAGTTTCACTTGACATCTCTGAAGCAGACCTCAATGCGGTACAAAATCTAAATGAAGACCAAATGGCAGCGTATAACTCGATTGTGTCTGCTATTGAACAACGAGACAATGCCATATTTTTTGTGGATGGTCCCGGAGGGACAGGAAAGACATACTTATATCGTGTTTTGTTAGCAACCTTAAGGAGTAAGGGTCATATTATATTGGCAACAGCAACATCTGGAATTGCAGCAACCATATTACCAGGTGGAAGGACAGCACACTCTAGATTTAAAATTCCCCTCAGTCCAGATGCATCTTCCACATGTTCTATTAGTATCCAGTCAGATTTGGCAGAATTGATAAGAAAAACATCAGCTGTTGTTTGGGATGAAGCACCAATGGCACACAGGTTTGCATTTGAGGCTCTCGATCGAACGTTCAAAGATATAATGGGCGTTGACCTACCATATGGAGGAAAGGTCATAATCTTTGGAGGAGATTTTCGACAAGTTCTTCCAGTTGTTCCAAAAGGTACAAGATCTGAATTGATGCAAGCAAGTATGATTAATGCTTCATTTTGGGAACACGTGAAAATCATTCGTCTTAGGCATAACATGAGATCCATCAATGATCAAGACTTTTCAGAGTTCTTACTTCATGTTGGTAATGGGGAACAAGAAACTATGATAGACGACATGATGCAATTACCATCATCTATGGTTATTCCATGGAATGGTGAAGAATCCATTGTCCAATTGGTTAATGAAGTTTTCCCCGATTTGGAATGTCATGTATGTGATGCAAGATACTTGGTGGAAAGAGCAATTATAACACCAAAAAATGAGGATGCTGACAAAATCAATAAAATGATCATCGATAAATTTTCGGGGATTGAACATATCTTATACTCTTTCGATTCAGTTGAGGACGATGTGAGAAATTTGTATCAACAAGAATTCTTGAATTCAATCTCACCTGGTGGAATGCCCCCTCATCAGTTAACTTTGAAAAAAGGTGCCCCGATAATGCTTTTGAGAAATATCGATCCGAAGATGGGGTTGTGCAATGGTACAAGACCGGCGTGCCATGGAGCTTACAATAATCTAATTGATGCCGAAATCTTATCTGGACAATTTGCTGGAACTAGAGTGTTTTTACCAAGAATCTCTTTAAAGACCACAGAAAGTGCAGGACTCCCATTCGAAATGATGAGAAAACAGTTTCCAGTGAAATTGAGTTTTGCACTAACTATAAATAAATCACAAGGGCAGACAATACCAAATGTGGGTATTTATCTACCAGATCACGTATTCAGTCATGGACAATTGTACGTGGCTTTATCAAGAGGAGTTTCAGCGTCTACAACAAAAGTCTTGGTAAAGAAAGGAGAGTTACACGGTAACGAAGGAGTCTTCACAAGAAATGTTGTGTACAAAGATATTTTGCTTCCCTCGAATTCAACATAAGGTTACATTCTTTCTTTTAATGTTTAATTCCCTTTTTCAACTTTTAATGCACTTCAATTACAAATAATGCTAATATTTGATTTTAACCAAACGCATTAAATTTTCAACAGTACGGAATGATATGAGTTCATTATATTTTTTGGTGTCATGTGCATCAAGGTCAATTAAATTTCTTGGATTGTTTTTATACTTTTTATTTAACTTTTAGTTGCAACTAAATTATAAGGATCTTCTCTGTTATTTATTACTTTTTTTTTTTACATATTCTAGACAAAATACTTTAGATTCCGCCTGTATTATTAGATATGATAATCGCCTTTATTTTATGTTTCTATACTTTGAACCAATCCTCGCATATAAATACATCTAAAATGTGTAAGTTGCATGTAGCATGCCGTGATTTAAAAAGTGTCTTTCGCACGTGCTTGAGAACACCGTAATAGACATTGCTGCGTGTGAGAGAGTATCCACGTCAACAACTTCAATTTATTGCTTCCAATTAGGAGCAGTCATCTTCTAGATTTCATACCTCACCTCCAAACTTGGTATCACACTTGCATACAATTTGATTTTCAGTTGGTCTTTCGATAAATTATAAATACTCAACGCCCCAAGTTAACTGTGAATTGCACTAATTAACCATCAGTTTTTCCACAAGTTATTAAGTTGGATGATTGCATACGACAACCCAAAACATTCCCTACAAGTTCCCTACATGAATTGCATAATAGAGATACAAGCAAGAATCATTAAGTTCTATGAAAAACATAAGCATTGACGAAGCATTCGTTACTATGAATTGCATGAAACTTATGCTAAGAAATCATTCAACGCGATCGTTTTCAAGCGACCTTCACTACTTGTGATTATAAGATTGTAACTATTAGGTGAAACTCCCTCATAATCTAGCATCATATTCGTGCATGAAAACTAAACGTGCACTCTCAATCAACATACACAAATAAGTTATCAATCAAATAGATGAACGAATTGAATCCACAACTTATGAAATTCCAACCAAAAGTAATCAATTCATATTGCAAATATAACCATGGTTTCGAATCACCCCCTAGCTAACTAGGGGGATTTAGCCTCTCATAGTCACAAAAAGAAAAATAAAATTGAATTTAAACATTAAGAACAAAGGAACGATTACACCTAGAACGCCCAACGAATCCACTTGAATTTCTGCGCGTCTAAGTCCTCTTTCCTCTTCTCCTTGCTGCGGCAGTGAGGTTAAATGGTGTTTGGATGTGGAAATTCCTGGAATAGAAGGGGGATAGCACGGATTGAAGATAATATGGTGTGAAGGTGGCTGCGGATTGGTGGAGAAGATATGCGGCTGTTTGTGAAAAAATCTGGAAGATGCGGCTGAGAAGAAAAACTGGGTGAAGGTGTTGCGGCTGGATGGGGAAAAATGGAATGCTCACGGCTGGACAGTTTTTGGACTAAAATATGGCTGAATAAAATTAGCTTAGGGTTGACGAATGGCTGCGGCTTATTTGGAATTGGCTGGACAGTTTTTTGGGGAGAATAATGGGATGCTATGGCTGCGGCTGTGTGGGTTTTTTAATAGGAAAAATGGCTCGGGTTTTAAGCTAAAATGGGAGAATGGATGGCTGCCGCAGATTTTGATAAATGGGAGATATTGGCTGCACGGCTAGACTAAAATAAAATATGGGAGAATGGTGGAATGAAAGGCTTGCTGCGGCAAGAGGAATTAAATTAGATTTTTAGGTGGCTGCATGATATGAATGAAAAGTAGGGGAGCTAGGGTCTTTTTGAAAGGGAATAACGGCTGTGATCATTTTTGTGGCTGAAAAAATATGAAAATAAATGATGAGAGGTCCCTAGGATGTGGCTAAATGGTGGAAACCCTAGGGTTTTAGAAATTCAAACCCTAGTTTATTTTTATTAACTAAAATTCACCTAAAGGCTGCTAGAATTAGGGAATAAAATCAGAAATTAAAGGGGAAAGATTAAAATGGTGCGGCTAGGGCCTTGGTTTTGTGTCCTAAAGCGCCTACAAGGACTTCAAAGTGGCTAGAAAATACGGACGTTTAAGATTAGGAAAGGTTACCAAAACGGGAAACTTAGGGTCAACTTTCCTAAAATAGGAAGCCTTGTTTGAGTAGGATTCTTCGTTTTGGTAAGAATTCATCGTTGGCATAGGAATTCGTCGTTTCTTCAAGTCTTCAACTCATTCATTCCTCTTTCGCTCCAAAAGACTCCAATTTGCATCTTCTTGCACACTTTGGCCTTATAATCTGAAAATACACAAAAGTGGCCTTAAACACTGAAATAGATAAGTAAACACAACCTAAATGCACGAGAACAAGCTAATTAAGTCGCATGAATATGCGCCTATCAAATTCCCCCACACTTAACTTTTGCTAGTCCTCGAGCAAAACAAAACAACTAAAGTAACCAAGACGAAACAAAACAAACAAACAAAACCTAAACCTTCCAACGATTGCCTCAGGGATTTCCAATGAAACATGACAAGTCAAAAATCATTACTCACATAGCTTTTAGTCTTACTTCCCCTTAAGCACATACTTAATCATAGTCACCATTCACTAGTTCACATTTAATCAATTAAAACACATTTTGAATGTAGTAACATGCCTTAGAGAATTCCCTCAATTCCTCACTAGTTATGCACTCAATTTTCACTCAGATTTTCTGACTACACACCCTATACTAGTTATATGTGAGAAGATTGATTTAAACATGAAAGACTAATACTCACATATGTATAACAAAGAACGCAATTTCTAGAGTAATTAAACGTGTTTAGATATGATCTCATGAATGGAATGCTACTACTTAGATGCGAGAACCAGTGACACCATATGCTCATACCAAATTCAAACTCCACAATTGAAATGCACAACACTCAAGATAGAAGTCAAAGGTTGTAACGGGGCTTGGGGTATTGGCTCACAAGGAAAGGTAGGGATACACAAAAGTTCTTTAAGCAATAGCAAGTAAAGTAATGAAATTAAGACCTAGAATTCCATTAGAATGCAGAAATCAACTTTTAGACAAATAGAGGAGATTCAAACAACTCTTAAGGCCTAATTCATTGTTTTGGGCCCTTACTTCAACAACCAATACTTTTCAATTTTTTTTTTTTTTTTTTTTTTTTCTTTTCTCTTTTTTTTTTTTTTTTTTTTTTTTTTTAAACCGTGCCTATGGCACATAAACTCACATCAATAATCTTTCCCCCACACTTATTTCCTGCAACACATTAATCAAAAGGAATTCATTGCTTACTATGCTTCAAGAACAAGGGTAAGGATGGTCCTAATCTAGGCTAGGTGAGGATAATGCGGGTTAACAAAGAAAGTAGGCTACACAAGGCTCAACGGGGTTAAATCCTACAAAACAAATGAAAAGGGAAATATGGCAATTTGGCTATGGTGTTCACTACACAACTTCATCTTGAATACGTGTTATGCAAATCAATGACATGCTTTGAATGAAATGGGCATGAGTTCTAGCATGTGGAACTAAGTGATGAAACGCCTTCTAAGTAGTAACCAAGCAAAGAATAATGAAATCATGCAACGACTTAAGAAAACATTAATGCATAGATTTTAACTCTCCAAATAACGTTTAGGCTCAAGTCTCACCGGGATGTAGCGTTTGTTTAAGTTCCTTCCTTCAAGCATGTTACAAAAACTGATTTTTTTCTTTTATGATTACATGTGAATTCGTAAACTATAACTACAACCAAGCATAAACCAAAGAGTATATCAAACGTCCAACCATGTTGGTAACTTTCTTTAACCATCATGCAATTAAAAACCAAATCCTCATCATTGCGTTGGAAGGTGACCTACGACACAAACAAACACACAAAAACAATTCTTTTTGGATTTTTCAAAACAATTTTTCAAATTTTTATGGGATTTTCGGATTTTTAAGACAACACACTCTAAAACACTCTAAAATAGCTTAAAAACACTTAAAAACAATGGGAAACAAGTTTAGACATGCTAGGTGGTAAAACCCTACGAATTTCATGCACAAATATCTCAAAACAGAATGTTACCCCCCCACACTTAAACTAAACATTGTCCTCAATGTTTTAGACACAATTAAAAACACAATACACAAAGCATAAAGTAAGCAACAAAGGGAAGGGTTTAGGGACGCAAATCTGAGTGTGGAGCGATTCCCAAGTTCTTCCTTTGTTGATTGCATGGGTTGCCTCCCAAGTAGCGCTTGCTTTAACGTCTTCCAGCCGGACGAAACTTCCACTTGAAGGTTTATGGAACCCCACGGCATAGAGGGGTGCAACTACAATCTGTCCGACGAACCACTTCATGCTTTGGGTCCTTGAATGGAGTGGGATAATGATCCTTTCTTATTGTCGTGTTTTTCTTTTCTACATCAACACGAATTCTCCCACGACTTTTAATTCGATTCGGTACCTGCACCACACGAGGTAACAACCTATTAGTTGAAATGGGAATCAAATTTGGAATAGGTGGCTTACCTTTGTACGGCAAAGAAGTGGTAGCACAATGGACGGATGCACAAGAGCTGCTCATGGCCAATTGTGGTCCTTTCAAGGTTGGAGCCGTGCATTCCTTGTTCTCTACTCCAAGTTCCTTCTCGGTGGTAGTTCGAGAAACTTCCTTCTTGATCTTTGTTGAACACTCCGTCCCTATGTGTTCAATTACATTAATGGCACAACAAGAACGAACATCATTAGTAGTCTCAATTGATTCAGGAATCTTAAAGTTAATCATATCACCACCAAAGGCCATAGTGACTGCTCCCTTGGCCACATCAATCTTGGTTTGAGCTGTTTTCATGAAAGGTCGTCCAAATAAGAGTGGTGATGATGGAGAGTGTGCCGAATCTTCCATGTCAAGCACATAGAAATCTGCAGGAAAAATCAAATGGTCTACCTGCACCAAAACATCCTCCAAAACTCCTTTCGGGTATGCATTAGATCTATCAGCTAATTGAATAATAACACCATCCTTTTTAAGCTCTCCTAGATTCATAGATGCATAAACAGAATATGGCATGACATTAATTGAGGCACCTAAATCTAGCATGGCATGTTCAAACTTTGTATTTCCAATTACACAAGGGATAGTGAAACTACCTGGATCTTTGCATTTGGGAGGTAGTTTGCGTTGCAAGATGGCAGAGACATTCTCACTTACATGAACCACCTCTTTTTCTTGAATCCGTTTCCTTGTTGTGCAAAGCTTTTTCAAAAACTTCGCATACTTCGGGATTTGCTTGATTGCATCCAAAAGGGGTATGTTGACTTGAACTTTTCTAAATGTCTCTAGAACATCTTTTTCCTCCTCTTCTTTCATGGATTGCAAAAATCTGCTAGGAAAAGGAACATTGGGTGGAACAAAGTTAGGCAAAGTTCTTGCATATGTATATGTCATTGAGTTTCAAAAGCGCGGTCTCCCCCATGTTCACATGCTTCTCATGTTAGAAGAAAATGATAAGCTTAATAGTCCAGATGATTATGATCAGGTGGTACGGGCTGAAATACCAAATCCAAATGAAGAGCCTGAATTGTATGGTGCCGTCTTAAGGCATATGATACATGGTCCATGTGGAATACACAATTCACGATCACCCTGTATGAAACGTGGTAGCTGTAAACGAAATTATCCTAAGCCATTTGCACCAACTACAGTTCAAGGAAATGATTCTTATCCAGTCTATCGTAGAAGAGACAATCATGATCCAATCCCATTAGATCATAATGCACGTATAATGGTGGATAATCGGTGGGTCATTCCGTACAACTCATGGCTACTCCTCAGATATGATTGTCATATTAATGTTGAGATTTGTTGCAGCATTAAGAGTGTTAAGTATCTGTACAAATATGTTTACAAAGGTCCCGACCGAGTAGCTTTTGAAGTCCATCATGAACCTATTCAAGATGAAATAAAGCAGTTTGTTGATGCAAGATGGGTTTGTGCACCTGAAGCTTTATGGAGAATATTCAAATTTGTAACTAATCGACTTTATCCATCGGTGGAACGATTACAAATTCATCTTCCTGAAGGACAAACTATTCATTTTTACCCTCACCAAAGAGTAGCAGATATTTTGGCAGATGACACTAACTCGATGACTATGCTGACAGAGTTTTTTTACCAAGAATACCACTTGCCCGGAAGCAAGACAATACTTATACCGGGAATTCCCTGAACGGTTCAAATGGAGTCAAAGAGATAAACTCTGGAGTGAGAGGATGAATAACCATAAAGTTATTGGCCGGATATATGCAGTCTCGCCGAATGAGGGTGAAAAATTCTACTTACGCATCCTTCTTAATCATGTTAGAGGACCAACATCATTTGAGAACTTAAGAACAGTCAATGACATTGTACAACCAACATTTAAGAAGGCAGTGGAACAACGAGGTTTGCTAGAAGATGATGATAGCATTAGACAGTGTCTCTGTGAAGCCACTAACATTCGCATGCCGTCAGCTTTGCGAAGGTTGTTTGTTACCATCTTAGTTTATTGTGAGCCACATGGAGTAAGAAGATTATGGGATGAATTTCATTCATTTATGGTGGAAGATTATTCTGTTTCAAGTACCACAAATAATACTTCTATCTTGAACAAGCTTTTGCAAGACTTGAACGGACTATTAGTGCAACATAGTAAGTCTGTATCTGATTACGATTTACCACAAATAACACAAGATTGTGTTAGAGACAACACAATTCCAAGGATAATACAAGATGAAGTTTCACTTGACATCTCTGAAGCAGACCTCAATGCGGTACAAAATCTAAATGAAGACCAAATGGCAGCGTATAACTCGATTGTGTCTGCTATTGAACAACGAGACAATGCCATATTTTTTGTGGATGGTCCCGGAGGGACAGGAAAGACATACTTATATCGTGTTTTGTTAGCAACCTTAAGGAGTAAGGGTCATATTATATTGGCAACAGCAACATCTGGAATTGCAGCAACCATATTACCAGGTGGAAGGACAGCACACTCTAGATTTAAAATTCCCCTCAGTCCAGATGCATCTTCCACATGTTCTATTAGTATCCAGTCAGATTTGGCAGAATTGATAAGAAAAACATCAGCTGTTGTTTGGGATGAAGCACCAATGGCACACAGGTTTGCATTTGAGGCTCTCGATCGAACGTTCAAAGATATAATGGGCGTTGACCTACCATATGGAGGAAAGGTCATAATCTTTGGAGGAGATTTTCGACAAGTTCTTCCAGTTGTTCCAAAAGGTACAAGATCTGAATTGATGCAAGCAAGTATGATTAATGCTTCATTTTGGGAACACGTGAAAATCATTCGTCTTAGGCATAACATGAGATCCATCAATGATCAAGACTTTTCAGAGTTCTTACTTCATGTTGGTAATGGGGAACAAGAAACTATGATAGACGACATGATGCAATTACCATCATCTATGGTTATTCCATGGAATGGTGAAGAATCCATTGTCCAATTGGTTAATGAAGTTTTCCCCGATTTGGAATGTCATGTATGTGATGCAAGATACTTGGTGGAAAGAGCAATTATAACACCAAAAAATGAGGATGCTGACAAAATCAATAAAATGATCATCGATAAATTTTCGGGGATTGAACATATCTTATACTCTTTCGATTCAGTTGAGGACGATGTGAGAAATTTGTATCAACAAGAATTCTTGAATTCAATCTCACCTGGTGGAATGCCCCCTCATCAGTTAACTTTGAAAAAAGGTGCCCCGATAATGCTTTTGAGAAATATCGATCCGAAGATGGGGTTGTGCAATGGTACAAGACTGGCGTGCCATGGAGCTTACAATAATCTAATTGATGCCGAAATCTTATCTGGACAATTTGCTGGAACTAGAGTGTTTTTACCAAGAATCTCTTTAAAGACCACAGAAAGTGCAGGACTCCCATTCGAAATGATGAGAAAACAGTTTCCAGTGAAATTGAGTTTTGCACTAACTATAAATAAATCACAAGGGCAGACAATACCAAATGTGGGTATTTATCTACCAGATCACGTATTCAGTCATGGACAATTGTACGTGGCTTTATCAAGAGGAGTTTCAGCGTCTACAACAAAAGTCTTGGTAAAGAAAGGAGAGTTACACGGTAACGAAGGAGTCTTCACAAGAAATGTTGTGTACAAAGATATTTTGCTTCCCTCGAATTCAACATAAGGTTACATTCTTTCTTTTAATGTTTAATTCCCTTTTTCAACTTTTAATGCACTTCAATTACAAATAATGCTAATATTTGATTTTAACCAAACGCATTAAATTTTCAACAGTACGGAATGATATGAGTTCATTATATTTTTTGGTGTCATGTGCATCAAGGTCAATTAAATTTCTTGGATTGTTTTTATACTTTTTATTTAACTTTTAGTTGCAACTAAATTATAAGGATCTTCTCTGTTATTTATTACTTTTTTTTTTTACATATTCTAGACAAAATACTTTAGATTCCGCCTGTATTATTAGATATGATAATCGCCTTTATTTTATGTTTCTATACTTTGAACCAATCCTCGCATATAAATACATCTAAAATGTGTAAGTTGCGTGTAGTATGCCGTGATTTAAAAAGTGTCTTTCGCACGTGCTTGAGAACACCGTAATAGACATTGCTGCGTGTGAGAGAGTATCCACGTCAACAACTTCAATTTATTGCTTCCAATTAGGAGCAGTCATCTTCTAGATTTCATACCTCACCTCCAAACTTGGTATCATACTTTCTAAAGCATATACATTGACAACCACAATGGAACAAAACTAACATAATACACATTTAGGGGCACGTAGCGCCCGTGATGCAAAAATGCCTCTCGCACGCACGTTAGTGCGTGCAGAGAGGCTAGTATGAATAAAATCAGAAATTTAACGAAATAAAAATTTGATGTCTTTATTCTTTCGTATTTGTAAATAAAAGATTTTATTTTAGAATCTCGTAGATAACCGATTCGATACAAAATTAAGTCGTTCATTGCTTCACTTACCCGAACTCTTCCCTCCCTTAATATAAAACATATCATTATACTAAAAAAATAATAATAAATTTACAGCAGTAATTTTTCTTTTTAATAAAAAACGATTGAGAGATGCACAATGCTTCGAAATTATCATTTTTTTTTATATATATTTATTTTGGTTTAGGAAATGTGGGGTACTTATCTTTGAGGAAAGACACGAAAGAGTAATACACCCACTTACTACATATTTGTGATATTATTTGTATTATTTCTATTACAGAAGTAGAACCTACCAGCATATGTTAATCTTATATCTATTAGAGAGATAATATAAATGTGTGGTAAGATTAATATTTTTGTTGAGAAAAATTATAAATGTGTGACCCATCACTTAAAATGAGAACTAAACGGATCCCAAATTTACATGTTTGTGTTTGAAGTAGAGTATACATTTACATTTTTTGAAAAAATAAATATAGTTTTTACAACTCAAATTTGCATATTTTCCAATTAAAATGCTCTCAATATTAGGAGATATTTCGAGTAAGAATAGCTAAATGTGTTTCTATTCTTCAAAAGATTCAGAGTACGGTGTAAAGGAGAGTAGTTTCGTTTTTGGCAATGTGGTTATGTCCACGTTGCAATGTTTTAGGTACCTTTACTTACTTAGGTCTCCTTTGGTATTTTTTTTCTTTTTTTTTTAAACCAAAACTGCCTTACTTTAAAAAATTAAGGAATAAAAAAATATTTGTCCCCCAAAAAGACCTACACTGTGATTGGCTTTGGTGGTTGATTGAGGGAATGTACTTTAATTTAACGTAATGTAAAAAAAATTGGTAAAATATAATATCATGCTTATTTTAAAAGCAATAGTCTCTGGACAACAACTTTTAAAGGCAGACTATATGTTGCTTTGCTTTTATAAGAGACAACGCTGAACTTTTAATGAATATTTTCAATTCTATGATCATTAGGTTTTAAAAATGACATTATTATTCTTCTACATGCATTTTATCCCCTAGGGAAGATCCAGTGACTCGCGGGATGGTGAGGTACAGAGTTCCGGCGCCACCGATGGTCCCAATGATGGTCCTGCATGACGGTCCCGCACATTGTCTAACCTTCCTTCAAACAGCCATGGTGGATGCAGAAAATCCATGGGGTATAGTCGATGGAGTTGACGAAGAATCATAGGTACGTTTGTCATTTAATCCTTCGTTCTATTCTACCCTGTACATACCAAACGCAGAACAAAATAACTGTCCCATTTCGTCTTGTGCATGCCAAATATAGCATGGAACCCTCGTTCCATTCCATTCCATTCTATTCTGTCCCTACGTACAACATGACCACCAACACCTATTAGGGGTGGGCATAAAAACCGGCAAACCGCAAAACCACATTGAACCGTATGAAAAAAAAAAAAAAAAAACTGAAAAGAACTGTGTTGACCGGAAAAGTCAACTTTGAGTCAAAAATCGAACCAGACCGTTCAAACTGGTTTCGGTTTCGAATGAACAAGAATTGGCCGGAACCAAACCGAATCATTTATTAATAATAAATTAATTAATTATATATATACATACATGTCATGGTATAATAAGTTGAAAAATTAGTTTCACCAAGTTGCAAAGCAATGGATCCCATCCTAATTAGGATTCACTCACCTCACCCTCTCACCTCAGTCACGGCCTCACATCACATTCCCCCATTTCAATTTCACATAGCCGACCCCACTTGGTTGCATTTTTTTAATTATCGCTGCCATTTGGAAAAAAGGAATGTCTGCACTCTATTCTACAGAAACCAATATCAGTGGCTACCTTGAATTGAGAATTCTCCCAAGAGGAGTGTCATTGCTTTGGTTTAGTGTTCTATGAGTAGAGGAAAGGGGTGGTGCGGTGCATCTATTGCTATGTTGTCCTGTTGCTAGGATATGTGATCTCATGTCAGTTGAACAACATTTTGTTTCATCGTTTTTCCTAGATTTTTTATATAAATCGCTCAACCAGGGGTAACGGAGCTCGCTACGTCGCTAATCATAGATTCGCTCATACGATCAAGCCAAATGCTTGATTTTAGAAAGAGAAATCACTCTCTTCAAATGCACAAGGCAAATACAATTTTAATTCATTCAAGTCTCGCCCCAAAAGCTTTTGATACATCAATATTTAAAGGAACTCAAGATAAAGGAACATAAATATACTACAACTTCCTAAGAAACTCTCTACAAATGACCTAACAAGTTCCTATGTCATTAAAATACACAGCCTTATTATTCCAATGCATACTAGTGGTCTTCAAATTGTTTTCTTCAAGGTCTGCCTCCCGCATCATTCTCCTCTTCTCCAAAAAAAAAACTCGTCCTTGAGTTTCATTTAATCTTCCTTGATGCATGAGGGATATTAGTAGCTTCAGGACTTGTGGTTGTGGGAACTAACTTAGGCTCATCAAGGAACAAATAAAGATCATAGATATTAAAAATTGGGACTAATTTTCGTCCCCTTTGGAAATGACTCATCCTCGAGTTTAAATCTTCATTGACTCCGTTGTAATTTTGAAATTGATTTCTACCTTTCCACACAAATAAATACTTGGAATATTTCCTTATTCTTGAAATAGTAAATTCATGCTCCATGACAAATCTTGTAATCCAACTGATATCAATTTTCATTTGATTGACTAAATCAACCATAACTTGAGAAACCTTCCAATTAAAAATATCAAAACCAATAAAATCAATGTATTCATAAATAGCATCTTCTTTCGTATCAACAATATCTTGGAATTTATTATCTCCCACTTCAACAACGTCACTGACTTCCTTCAAAGATTTGTGAGATGAAAACCCTACTTCTATCCCACCATAACTTTTGTTATTACTCAAGCTAAAACCATCACAAATTTCACAATTACTCAAGCAACGATCAAATAAGGGAGGCATACTCAAATGAATTAAAGACGAAGCCTCAATATTTTCACACCCATAATTTGAACTAAGATAATTCAAACTAACCATATCTTGTGCCAATTCATTGTAAACTGCTGAACGACAATCTCCTTTTTCAATTGACTCAAACCATGGAGCGTAATCATGAAAAATGTCAACACATTGCAAACAAATGCTTTCCTTCCCTTAGGAAACCACAAAGCCTCGTCATCGATTTTCGATGCGAGAAATTTGAATGATGAGATCTTGATGCATCCTCTTAATCTCTTCCATGTTGTCAACATACTTGTCATAAACTGGTGGAGAATCCCAATCAACCAAGCTAATCTTTTCAACCATTTGATGTTCAAACGGATGAAAAATATCAACCATGATCTTCTCGCACAGCGAAAAACCTACTGTGATACCACTTGATGCAGGACAGAACCAAAGGTATAGAGGAGAGGGGAATAGATAACCTAGGATTCGCTCAACCAGGGGCAACGGAGCTCGCTCACGTCGCTAATCGTGGATTCGCTCACACGACCAAGCCAAATGCTTGATTTTAGAAGAAGAAATCATTCTCTTCAAATGCACAAGGTAAATAAAATTTTAATTCATTCAAGTCTCATCCCAAAACCTTTTGATACATCAATATTTAAGGGAACTCAAGATAAAGGAACATAAATACACTACAACTTCCTAAAAAACTCTCTAAAAATGACCTAACAAGTTCCTATGTCATTAAAATACACAGCCTTATTATTCCAATGCATACTAGTGGTCTTCAAATTGTTTTCTTCAAGGTCTGCCTCCCGCATCAACTTCTGTGTCCTCCTATAGTCCTATAGGACTGACTCAAACAATTGCGAAAGCCCTTCGGGAAAAAGTAGCAATCATCCATGACAACTTATGTGCAGCTTCTTCGGGGTTTTTGGGCAGCTTCTTTCCTTGTAGAGACTTTTATCACCTGAGAAAGTAGGTCAGATGTTCTTGTGATTTAATCGGGTCTCTTGGCCGAGCAACAATGGACAGCATAGAGAGATACCTCCTTTCCAAACACGGTAACAACAATGTTCGTAACCAAGTTCAGTTGGTTCAACAATCCGATTGCGTAAATAATTTTGATAAAGATTTACAACTTGAGGGGCAGTACCCTAGCCAGATTTTTCTTAACACATCTTTCATTTTTATTCATTTCATATTTGTGAGTAGCTTACAAAAACATGAAAAAGAAAACAAAAGATAACGTTGAAACTTGAAAATACAAGTATATCAATGTCATTCAGCCAACAAGTATATGTCAGATGATATAAATACCTAAAACGACTGCTAAACCGCGAATTTCAAGATTGTTCTGGGAGGAAAATGGCTGCTTTGAAAGGCCAAGAAAATACCACCCCTTTATGCAAAGCTTTAATCAAGAGCAAACTGTGCGCACCAGAACGATGGATGAGATATCACCGCTTGAGTTGCCTCCTCGCCAGAGCAGGAGCTTTCTTAGGGATGTAAACCTTATAACTCACCTGCCAAAAGTATTAAACCATCATTAAAGCTAGTAGCAGAAAATAGACTATCAAACTCTTGTATGGTCTAAAAAGAGATTACTAAACTGAAACTAATGCAAAAAACGTATGCCCTTAATAGGGACATCAAAACACCCACCTGTACCATTTCACTACCTCGCATCACCGACATTGTTTTCTGCTCAAACTGTGAGCCAACTGTAGCTTCATCTTGCTGTTTATCAGAACTATTTTCTCCTAAAGGTTCGGGAGCAGTAGAATCATGACCCTCATCAATATCTTCACCGTTGCTATTGCTTCTTTGAGGAACAGTTTGGGCAGTCCCAGAAGCACCCTTATCTACACAACTCTCACTCACCAACAATCTTTCCTCAGGAGGTTCCTGTAAAGCAGGTTCTTGTTTCAGCGTGGGGTGAGCTTTTAGCGAATGACCCCTCAATGTTGGTGAAGTCGTGTTTGGTTTATTAAGGGCAGCAGTGGTCTTAACCTTTATACCGACAACCACTTGCTCTATTGGACAAGCAACATCTTGCTTGGCAGAGATTTCATTGCCATCTGGTTCCTTTTCAAGGTTTTGGGAAGAAAGCATGGAAACTCTCTCTTGAGGCCCATTGGCCTCTTCTACTGATTGGATTGCATCAACCCTTTCAGCAACATCCTCCTCGGATGACTTTGCTACAACCACTCTAGCACCACTCTCCCCGGGGGATTCTATTTGAACCAATTCAACCTTTGCAGTGGACGGCTGTTTCAAATCAATAGCGGTCTTGTCTTCCTGATTGGTAGTTACAGCTGAAATTCTTTGATGCTTTCCTTTAAATCTTTTTAGATTTTCCAAAGCCTTTTGTCTTAAAATTGATTCCAGATCCTCACCTGGCAGACTACTGATTGTCCCAGAAACCTCATTCTTATTTTCATTAACAGGACCAGTAATCCCAATTCCATCACCTTGGCCCGCGCAATCTTTTTCCAAAATGCTACGAATATCTTTGAGATCCATGATTGGAACATTAGAAACATAAGCTTCTTCCTCTTTCCCACTCTCTACTTCCGTTCTCTTCTCAAATGCAACATCTAAACAATTATTCAACTCCCTCTTGCATCCTCCGTCATTACTGTCATTACTTCTACAAGAAGGGTAATCATCATCGTATGTAATCTCTTCTTTGTGCCCATCCGTATCCATCCACCTGCCGTGCTTGTCTTCTTCTGTCACAGTAACTACGGATCTCAACCTCCTCGTATTGTTCTCATATGTCACTTTTTCCTCACTCCGACAATCACCACTCTCGCTATGCTGACTGCGCGAAGAACAGCTCCATGACCTATATCTAGCCCTCTTAGTCCCCCTATCAACCATGTTAATATCACTTTCATCTCTGTTTCGTTTTTCCGGTCTGCCCCTATGCCTCTTAGATTCAATGTCATCGCCACTAATTCCCCCACTAGGACAAGTTGAGCAGCTAAACGACGCACTACTCCTGGAACTAACACTAGCATTCCTCCAAGGCCTCTTCCTCAAATGAGTTTTCTTATCATTCTTCTTCTTCGCCGATTTCCTCTTCTTTCTACGGGCAGAGTCCTCGCTACTGTCACGGCTATAAGAGCGTCTCCGAGCCCTCTTCTTGCTCCCTTTTGCAACCTTCCGAGTGCGCGATCGAGCCCTTCTACTTCTCGAATCATCCTCTGAACTAAAAGAGGAATTCGATTCCAAACTTCTTGAATCATCCTCACCAGAATACGAAGAAGAATCGTCACGACGGCGAAGCTTCTTGTATCTATATTTCCTACTTTTACTCTTACTCTTCTTTCTTGTTCGAGCCTAAAACCGCCACATACGTGAACACAAACATTAACTTTGGCATTTAGCATAAAACATTGGCAATCATGAATCAAATTACAAAACCTTAATCTCAGACATAATCATATTTGTACAACGTTATAATCAAAACATCATATCTCTTAGCAAACTACTGATAATGCTGTCTAAAGTTTTCGATTTTTTTTCGATTCCAAAACCCAACTCAGAAAAACAGAACCAAAAAAATAAAATAATAATAATAATAATCTTTTCAGCAGGGAAGGAAAACCCATGTAGTTAAACAATAAAAAAACGAGGAACCTAAAACACGACAACAACTGAGAAGAGAGGGAGAGAGAGAAAGACAACCTCGGAGGAAACCTTGGAGCGTTTCTTGGTATGAGAAGAAGAGGACTTGCCCATCTGGGTTTATACCTGCAACAATCGAAACTGTTAAAAGCAAAATTACGATTGCAAAGAAAGCAAAAAGAGAGGGTTGTTCAAAAGTTGGATCGGAGGATTCGAGATTCGAGGAGAGCAACGGATGGGGAAATTAGAATGCCCCACTTTTTTTCTACATTTTTTAAATTAAACTTTTGTGTGTTTTAAAGATTTGATCAAAACGCTTGAAGTAATGGTCACCTAAGTATTTTTAAAATTTTTATTTACATATCATTAGTTTATTTCTTTTAAAAGAAAAATATTTTACGTTGATTTCTCACTTTATCCTTTTATCAAAGGTTTTTTTACATGTCAGAATTTATGCCCCATTTAAAGGGATATATTAATGCTATTAACTATTAAATGGATATTAAATGGTAAATAATCAAAATTATCTGTCCCTTTTTAAGGGATTATTAATGGATATTAACTATTAAATCATCAATATTATCTCCTGAATTTTGAATTTTGAACAATTTTTTTTATTTTTTTGGTTGCAGCTCACTCTCACTTGTATATTATATGTACCTCATGCTGTTTATCTTTGGCAGAGATTTGCAGAACTTGAGGTATGTTTCACGATTCAACAAGTATACCTAATAATTGGTTATGCTACTTTAAGGAATGGTGTAACCATAAAAATATTGTTTCAAGTAAAGCATTAAGGATTTTTTGATGGAGAAGAATCCATCATTTTTTCATTTTAGTGCTGAAAGAAGAACTCTTGCTTTGTATGTTGTGATCTTTATGATTACGATGCCATTTGAACACTACAAACATCTTGATTCTTTGGAAGATAAAAAACATCTTGATTCTCTTTCCAAATAAGGAGTCTCTCAAACGGATCTTCTGATGGTTGAAGATTGGTTGAAGCAGAAAAAATTGTTTCTCGGTTAAAACCTAAATTTTATGGGCTAAATATTTTTAGGTTTTAGGTCAGAGTTGGAGATGGTTTGAGGATTGTGTGTTACGCTTGGTTCTGGCCTAACTTCTTTCTACCTCTCCCTTTTGGCCTATGCTAGTCCTTATATATAAGGTTTTGTTGTAGCCTAATTTATCTGACAAAGGGAATAGGGTCGGCAACAAAGGTACAGAAATTGAGAGAGATGTGTTTGTAGAATTGTAGGGGAATATATATTGTTATCCCTCCTACATTGTGCCTTTATTTATAGTAGCAAAAAGGAGATAAGATATTCCTTCTTCCCCAAGTAATACAAGTTGTAATAAGAAAGGATAACTAAAATCAAATCTAATCTAGAATTTACACAATCACACTTAAACTAGGAAAGTTTACAACATTCCCCCTTGATTATGTAAATACTCAAGGTAGATTCAACATCATGCAGAAGTTGAGGAAGTCGACTTGTCGGCACTAATTCTAAGGAACAACGCTTATCTCAATAAGGTAGGAACTTGCATAAGTAGTAAGTCTCACTAAAAAACTCTAAGGCTATGGCAAAAACCCGATGAGGGACAAAATCCATAGTCTAAGGAAAAATGTGTGAGAAATGCAAAGTCAAAAGAAACGTCTGCGAGACGTCATCAGGGATATGACCAGCCTAAGGTGGGTGCCTCGTTAAAACTTAGTTAGGTAACAAAAACCCAGTGGGAAAAATGCTCATAATCGTTGGGAAAAAAAGTACATTAAGATAAACCAAGTATCTTCAGGATACTCCCCCTAAGTTTGACATAATTCCATAGAGAAATAACAATGTTACAACTCAGAAAGTTTACAAGCTTCTGAAACGTCATCTTTGGCAGTGATTTGGTGAAAGAGGTCAGCCAGATTGTCTTTGTGAATGGATTTGCGTGACTTTAATCTTCTGATGCTCTTGTTGTTGATGTGAAAAGAAAAATTTCGGCATAATGTGCTTGGTGTTGTCTCCTTTGATATAACATTTCTGGAGTTGTTCGATGCATGCTGTGTTGTCTTCAAAAATTGTCATTGAGACATCAACAGCGGGATAAAGATCGCAGGAGCTTCAAATATGGCCCACTACTGCTCTCAACCAAAAGCATTCCTGAGTTGCTTCATGTAAGGCGAGAATTTCAACATGGTTAGACGAAGTGGCAACTAAGGTCTGTTTAGTTGACCTCCAAGAGATTGTGCTGCCTCAAACGGTAAAAACATAACCCGTTTGAGAACGCGCCTTGTGCGGATTAGATAAGTATCATGCGTCGACATAACTAACAAGGCATCGACTCGAGAAGCAGGGGTGCAGCATCACTTGAGGATCCATAGGGATAGAACAAGTCCTAAATTCAGTAGTACTTTTAAGGTAACGAAAAATGTCTTTCACGCCAGTCCAGTGTCTGCGTGTTGGTGCATTACTGTATCTTGCCAAAAAATTAACAGCAAAGAAGATGTCAGGTTTAGTACATTGAGCTAAGTACAATAAAGTGCCTATTGCACTTAGGTAAGGAACTTCAGGCTCCAAAATCTCTTCATCATCCTCATTCGGACGGAAATGATCTCGTTTTCCATCTAACGATCGAACGACTATAGGAGTACTTGAAGGTTTGGATTTATCATTATTAAAGCGGTGCAACACCTTCTGGGTATAGTTCAATTGATGTACTAGAATTTTATCCGAACAATGCTCTATCTTAAGGCTGAGATAGTATCAAGTCTTACCTAGATCTTTCATTTTAAATTCCGTTTTCAGGTGCACAGCAGTTTTCGCAAGCTCTTCAGGAGTTTCGATAAGGTTCAAGTTACCGACATATACTGCAACAATTGCAAATCCAGAATGTGACTCTTAATGAACACACAAGGGCATAGTTTGTTGTTCACATATCCCTGACTAGTCAAATACTCACTCAGACGGTTATACCATATTCTTCTGGATTGCTTCAAACCGTAGAGTGAATGCCTCAGCCGAATTGAGAGCGTGTTCCGAGGTTGGGAAATATTTGAACCAGTCAATATAAGTCATTCGAGAACTTTCATATAGATTTCCTTATCAAGATCCCTATAGAGATACGCGGTTACTACATCCATTAACTGCATATCCAGTTTTTTGGAAACTACCAAACTGATAAAGTAGCGACAAGTAATCACATCCATAACGGGTGATTAAGTTTCATCATAGTCAATCACAAGGCGTTGTGAGAAGTCTTGTGCAACAAGACGAGCTTTGAACGCATAATTTCGTTCTTCTTATTACGCTTCCAAACGAAAACCCACTTGTAGCTAACGGGCTTTATATGTGGAGAAGTAGGAGCTACAGGTCCAAAGATCGTACATTTCGCAAGCAAATCGAGTTCGACTTGGATTACTTATTTCTAGTTTGACCAATCAGTTCTACGTTAACATTCATCAATGGAACGCGATTCAATGTCATCGCTCAACATGATCTCAATAGCTACTGCAAATGCTAATGCATCGTTAATAATCATCTCATTTCTACGCCACACATTATCTAAGCTAGCATAATAGACCGAAATCTCACGTTTTTCGGGAGGAGGATTCGTCTCTTCAAGGATGTTTCCATAATCTAGAATTTCCTCATGAGTTGGATAGAATGAGTAAGCGATAGTCGGATTCACGATAGGCTTTTCGAGACCTTGTGTCGTGGGTTTCCTCTTCCAATGGTGTGAATCCTTTGAACCAAGAGGTTTGCCACGCTTTTGTGTAGGGGCAGATGATTGGCTAGCCGCTAGTGTACGTAGATCATCAGTATTGGCGTCCCGGGCCTCCAGGAGGGAAGTCTGTTGTACATTTGGTATATCCATCTTTGCAGAAGTATTTGCAGCTGGAATATGTGATCTTGTCATGCGCGCTAAGTCGGTGAAAAGGTGACTTTCTGGGAAGTTGCTCGTGAGTTCCCAAAAACAAAACCGTGAGGGAATGGTAAGCCCAAAGCGGACAATATCGTGCTACGGTGGTGGAGCGGGCCCGGGAAGTGATCCGCCCCGGGTCGGGATGTGACAATTTGGTATCAGAGCCGAACCCTGGTCGCGTATGTGCCGACGAGGACGTCGGGCCCCTAAGGGGGGTGGATTGTGACATCCCACATCGCCCAGGGAAGTGATCCTTAAATGTATATTCCCATCCCTACCTAGCACGAGGCCTTTTGGGAGCTCACTGGCTTCGGGTTCCATCGGAACTCCGAAGTTAAGCGAGAAGAGGGCTAGAGCACTCCCAGGATGGGTGACCCTCTGGGAAGTTGCTCGTGAGTTCTCAAAAACAAAACCGTGAGGGAATGGTAAGCCCAAAGCGGACAATATCGTGCTACGGTGGTGGAGCGGGGCCGGGAAGTGATCCGCCCCGGGTCGGGATGTGACAGAAAACATCTGGAATGCTCTGAGTTATACTCTGAAAATCTAATATGTGTTGCACTTCAGTTTTAGACTGAGCCGTGCGGGGATCTAAATGAGACAAAATGGGATTCATCCAAGATAATTCGCATCATTCTTTAGGAATGTTAACGTGTTTATCTCCCCCTAACGACAGGAAGACTATATCATAGAAGTGACAATCCATGAAACGAGCGGTAAACAGATCGCCTGTCAAAAGTTTTAAGTAACGAATAATCAAAGGAAGATCATATTCGACATAGATTCTCATCCTTGGCTGAGGCCATATTTTTCTATGTAAGGGTGGCGAGATCGGCACATATATTGTACAACCAAATACGCGCAGATACGATATGTCAGGTTTGTATCCGGTAACCAACTAAAATGCGCTAAATGGTTGTGTCGCAACAGGCCTCAAGTAGACTAACTTTGCTACGTGCAATATTGCATGACCCTAAACAGTGATCGGGAACTTGGTACGCATGACCAACAATCGAGCAATCATTTGTAAGCGCTTAATGAAAGCCTCTACTAGGCCGTTCTGGGTGTGAACATGGGGTACAAGATGTTTAACTTCAAACCCAACTGACATGCAATAATCATCAAAAGTTTTAGATGTGAATTTTCCAGTAGTATCCAATTAAATGGATTTGATCAGATAATCAGGGTGGTGATTCCTGAGCTTGATAACCTGAGCCAACAGTTTGGAGAATGCAGCGTTCCTTATGGACAACAAGCACACGTGTAAACAACGTGTGGAAGCATCAACCAAAACCATAAAGTATCTAAATGGTTCGTAGGGAGGGTGAATCGGTCCACAAATGTCTCCCTGAATCCACTGTAGAAAAATGAGAGGATTCGAATGAATCTTGTCATAAGAAGGCTTAGTA